GCGTGGGAGCTGCTGGTGGCGCTGTTTCGTTTCTGGAGGCATTTGACAGTGCTGGGCACCTGCAGTCCCGAGTAGACGTGGAAGCTGCCGCACCAAACCTGGGGGTTGGGGAAGGGAAGGAAGCAGGTTACTGCAGCTGACTGCAGAGTGTTTCATCCCAAACAGGCAGGGCGGGGAAGAGGACGGGGAGGGAGGGGCACGTCCGAGCAGCTGGAGCATGTCTCATCCTCATCACTGGAGTCTCAGGGCTTCACGCTCTCCTCCCCCATGACTTTTACCTCCCACACATCCTTGAGCGGCAGAGAAGGATGAGTCCCCCGTTATAGATGGGGAAACTGAGGCACCGAGCAGCAAAGTGACTTGCCCGGGGTCTGCCCAGTGGTGAAGCCAGGACTTGAATGCTCAGGCCACCTCGCAAACAACCGAGAGCGTGAAGCCCGTAGCAACGATCTGCTGAAAAGTACTCGACAGAACTAATTATTACTCCCCCGTGAGAGACTGTTCATAGAAACCTCCCCTCCCAGCCGCAGTCCCCCGGCAAACCACAGCTCGATAGCCGCCAAGCGAGCAGTCAAGTCAGGGGAGCGACACTTGTTCTAAGACAGCGGGGCCTTCTGGTGCTGTGAGCTTCCCCCCGCAGCAGTGTCCCGGCAGGGACAGCTGGGCCATCCTGGTCCCTACCATCCGAGGGCGTTGGGGCTGACCCGGTCCCAGAAAATGACACAGGAACAAGGTGGAGGGAGCCCTTCCCCCGCTTCCAGCCCCACGACAGCACAGCCCCTCATGGCAGAAGGGGGGCAGGCAGGTGGGCGGGGAGGCCGTGCCTTTGGCTTGCAGGGAGATGAGTTCACACCTAGGAGCTGAGGCTGCCCTTTATGCAGGGGAGACCTCCAGACACACACGCTTCAGCATCGCAGGCCCCTGCGGCCTCCTCCCACCCCGCGAAGGACCCCTCACCATGAAGGCAGGAAGCACCGGCTGGGTGAATCTGGCCTTAAACGTGTGGAGCAGCTGCTTGGTTCGAGCGTTGTAGAAGGACAGGAAACCTGCGGGCAGACACAGGAAGTCAGGGGGGGGCTGAGCCGCCCAGCAAAGGTGTAAGGGGGGGATTTTTCACCCCCCATCTCAGTCCTCAGGTCAGACCAGCCTGGGACGCTGCAGCCCCCTTCTCAGCCGGCGTCTCCACCGCAGCCACCTGGGACGCGCCTTGTCTGATCACAGGGGGCCGGGTGGGCCGGGTGGGTTGGGGTGGGGCTGCCCAGTTCTGATGCAGCCCCAGCACGGACACAGCGAGCTGTTCTTCACACCCGCCTACGCTGCACTATTATCACAGCGGGGGGGGGGGCACTGCCAGGAACCCGCCAGTCACCCAGCCCCAGCTAGAACTGACTGAGGCTGCCGCTCCCAGCCGGTGGCAGCCCCGAGGAGCAGCGGCTTTCGGGCAGGGTGGGCCGCGGTACGGCCCGTGGGGTCAGAACGCAGAGACAGCCGGGGCAGCAGGACGCGCACGGCCTCACCTTCGGGGAAGATGCAGTAGACGCCGATACAGTCGGGCACGGGCACGTCCAGGGCCTTGGCCTTGTTGTTGTGCTTGGCGGTGAAGCTGACCTGCAGCCAGTTGTTGAGGTGGACGCACCAGGACGACGACGTCTTGCCCAGCTGGTCGAACTTGCCCAGGGTCCGATAGGCCACGCCCACGCCGAAGGCTTTGCTGTCCCGGTCGTACCTCACCTCCCAGTAGTGGTCGCCCCCGTCGATCAGCGTGTCGCCTGCGGAGGGATGGGGGGGGATGGGGCATTCTCAGTGGGCGTCCCGGCCTTGGGTTCCCCCGAATCCCAGGCTGCCCTGACCCTCTAACCCAGGGATGGGGAACTTAAGGCCCGGGGGCTGGATGTGGCCTCTGAAGTTCAGGGCTCCCCCCCCAGCATTGGGGAGTCTGTGCTGGGGCTCCAGCCCCCCCACCCTCTGCTCCCCTGTGGGGTGGGAACACACAAAACCCACTAGGCTCTGGTGTGAGGGGAATGGGGGAGGGTCTTTCTCCTTCCCAGGTGGGGGCCGCGTCAGTGAAGGTTTGGGGGGTTTTGCGTCTCACTTGTGTGCGGCTCCCGACTGATTTTTCTGCGGGTCAGTGGAATCAAAGGTTCCCCACCCTCTTGCCCTAACCCCTCCCCCCCAGCACACAGCCCTTCACCTGCTGATAGCCCAACGCCAGCAAGGGGCTCACAGCGCCTGGTCTTGTGGCCCCCCAGCAGGTGACATTCCC